GTATCCTCCGGATAGTCCCGCTGAGACACATGAAAATCCGTCTACATCAGCTAGACCGATAACTTCTATTGTCAAACTGGGTGCTGTAAGGTCTACAGCTAAGTCACCAGTGGCTTGGCATCAGAACGGTGAGACTCGAAAACTGAATCAGACTCCGACCCAAAAGAAAGGTAGTACAGTTCCATTTGGAGGTACGACGCCTTCTCTTAGATCTAACAAGTCTGTTCAGCCCAGCACGTCTACAACTCCCGCAGCTCCAATTATATCCTCGAATAATTCTCTGTCCTGCGTACCGGTTACTTATCAAAGCCCTACTATATATCCAGCAACTAATTCATACATGAATTGCCCTAAATCATTTATGCCCCAACCTAGTTCATGCTTCCTACCACTTAAGGCCAATTGCTCTCAGGTACGTCAACCTATCTCCTTTGACTTCCAGTCTAGACCTGGTTTCCCACTATTTCATTCTTTTAGTGGCCTACCCTCACCCATTAGCCCCTACTTTCCTTCTAGCCTCCCTCCTCCTTCTCCTCCTCCCCTTCCTCCATTATTTAACTACCAACAAGTCTATCCATGTTCTAACTCCCCTAGCATTCCAATGTTTGAAAACTATATCCCCACCTCCTTTAGGTCTCATACTCAGCCTTCTCTTGCTGACTCCCCATACGTCAATAACTCTAAATTAACTGGTACTTATTCTCCAAGTGTCATTAATTCGCAGCTTACATATCCGCCTCCAAATTTTTTTAAATACCGTCGAAAATAGCATTGCCGTTCGAAACACATTAGATATTATATTATTGAATGCCAGGTCAGTTATAAACAAGATGGCCCAAATCAGAGCCATTGCTCTGGAAATGACGCCTGATATTATATGTGTAACAGAATCTGGGACACATTCTCTAATTCCTGACTCTGCCCTTCTCATAGATGACTTCGATTTTTACCGCCAAGACCGCACGACTAGGCGTGGGGGTGGTTGACTTCTTTATCTTAAATCCTACCTAAAGCACTCTCCCTATTACTTGGATGTTTCTTCATTCACGGGAAACTTCTGCTTTGCATCTGTTATTCTCTCGCCGCAAAGAAAGGCAATTATTGGCTGTATCTACAATCCCCCAAATTCTTTAGCCAGTGATGATTCACAACTCTGTGAAATCTTTAAATTAATTTCGGAAGCTGCTTTCGATGTTAAAATAATCACTGGGGATTTTAACCTTCCTGAAATTGACTGGGTTTCCAATAGCTGCCCACCCAGATTCCAGTCCTTTCAAGATATTATCAGTTTTTCAAATTGGTCCCAACTGGTGCGCTCTCCAACAAGAGATAATCATATTTTAGATCTAATCTTTACCAATGACATTGCTCCTCTTTCTGTTTCTTTAAAAAAGGACCTCTTTGACAGTGACCACGTATTAATTTATTGTTGCCTACCGCTTGCCTTTTCAAAAAAGACAAGCGCCGTTCAGACTTTCATGAACTACGACTGCGTAGATAGCGACTTAATAAATAACTATATGAGATCCTTGGATTGGTGTGGCTTCCTCACTTGTAGCGATGTAACCATTCTTCGTGATGTCATGTCCAATGTTTCCAAGGACATTCTAGAGTTTGTGCCGCGTAGATATCTCAAGCCTAATTCTTCAGATTCTCTTGTTCCTCATTTTCTTCAGAACAGACTAAAAAAATTGAGGCGACAACTGCGTGACCTATCCACTAGTTCCTTATCAGTCCATCTTAGAATCACGGAGATTTTTGAGATGGCCTCAAGGATGCGCCAAGCGCGCGACAGGCAAAGAGAATCAATTGCTCTCAGTGGTTCGAACCCTGGCAAATCCGTCGCTAGCATCTTCCGTCATCGGTCCTACTCTAAGCGTGGTCATGAACTTCCAACCATGCTAAATGATAACAAAGTCTTCCTCACCGATAACACTGACAAGGCGGAGTTGTTTAGTGCTTTCTTTGCAAAACACCTTGTTACCGAGTCCGATCCGGTCCCTTTCTTTCGATCACTTTCAGATAGGACACTTAGTACAATTGATGTCTCCTCAGATCTCATTAAGAAACACATAAGCCGTTTGAAATACTCACACTGCTCAGGAACGGACGGGATTCCGAATTCGATTATTAAACAAGCGTCCGACTTTCCCATTTTGCTCAGTCATCTATTCTCGGTTTATATTTCAAAAGGATTCTTTCCTGAAACATGGAAAACGTCAATTATCATTCCCGTTTTCAAGTCAGGATCTCGATCCGATGTTAATAACTATCGGGGCGTGCACAAAACGCCGTCTCTAGCAAAGCTTCTCCAAAGGACTCTTTTCAATGAAGTTCTTGACTTCTGTCTAGCTAATCGGCTTCTGAGCTCTAGTCAGCATGGGATTTTACCTGAACGATCCTGCGAAACATGCCACTTGGCTTTTCTTAATCTAATCACTTCTCTTCGTAATGAGCGGCAGTCAGTGGTAGTTATTTACTTTGATCTTAGCAAAGCCTTTGACAAGGTGCCCCATAGACGTCTTTTAGTAAAATTGGAAGCCCTCGGCATCCGGCCGCCTCTACTCGACTTCATTAGGTCCTATCTGTCCAACCGATATCAGAAAGTCATGGTCGGTAATAGCTACTCGACACCTCACTCGATCACGAGTGGCGTACTTCAAGGCACGGTCCTGGGTCCGCTACTCTTCCTTCTGTACATCAATGATATTTCGACTGAACTCGGAAATTCGCAAACTTTTACTTATGCCGATGACCTCAAGTGTGTTTACTCATACTCTAAGGACACCGCAAATGTTTGTGTTGAAAAAATTAATGCCGATTTACTACGCTTAAGCAGATGGGGTTCGACATGGTAGATGGAGTTTTCATTATCCAAGTGTAGTTTCATGTCTTTTGATCCTGCCAAACTTCCTAGTGCCATAATTTTTCAGAATAACCCACTCTCAGAATGTCTCACCGTAAAGGACCTAGGTCTAAGTTATACAAATAAACTTGCTTTATCACCTCATGCAGATAGAATCTCTGCCAAAGCCGCGCAGATATGTGGATTCATATCGCATAATTTTTTCCTTCCGGAAATGAAGCTAAGACTTTATCAAATGTTTGTTCTCCCAGTCCTCGAACACTGCTGTCCTTTCTTCGGTTTAATGAACGCCTGCGACCGTAATAAAATCGAAAATGTTCAGAGGGTTTTCACCCGGAAACTGTTCTCTCAAGCTTCGTCCAGTATTTCTTATACTCAGAGATGTCAGCTGGCGAACATGAAGTTTTTGTGGGTTAGAAGACTCGAAGCTGGCCTTTGCTTCCTTTTTCGCATCAACTCTAGCTCCAGTCTTCCGCACATTGACACTCTCACTCCGAGAGATCGGTCTTATGCCACGCGCAACTCCTGCATGGTGATTCCGCCGCCTCTTTGTACTACATCTAAGCGCTCCCTCTTCTTTGCTTCCAAATATGCCTTCCTTTGGAATAATCTTCCGCCTGAAATTAGATTATCGCCTA